CTATCCCTGTGACAGCCGAACTACTGCATCCTTGTTCACAATCACAGACCCCAAACCAGGCCAATGGCATTGTCATGCAGGCGGTCTGCTGCGAACAGCATCCCACCACGCATGGTAGTGCCGAAACAAGATGAGCCAGTGTCATTTCTGGATTTGACCTTGATCTGTCACTTTGGCAGCATCCAGGTCTGCACATGGGATGCACAGCGACTGGGTGGTCGAGGCCTATCTAGACGGGTGGAGTCCTGTCAATGATCTGCCGTGTCTCGACCGAGCTTCTGCGATAATGATCCTACTCGCAGATCGTAGGTCGTGGAATGACGGTCCACTGTGCAGTAATAAACCCGAATGGTCATCTAACTCCACGAATTATGCAGTCATGGATATGTCCATGTTCCATTTCGTCAATCGAGAAGCGGCATGGGCATGCCATTACAGGAAACAAGGTAGTCTAGAAGACCCACTGTGCAACTCGCCATACCAAGATTATGCTCAGCTACTATTGAGGTAACCGGACTCACGTCACACAAATCACAAGGTGTGCTACATACGGCACCGAAGCCGGTGAGCCCACTTTGCACGGTGGACTTGGCCACCACCTGACCAAGTTCTCGTCGCGAGGCCCTGGTGCGACAGGCACCGATAGTGTAACAATGTGGTGACGGTGGGTAATCTCCCTGCGGTACTTTGGACCTTTTGCCTATCAGGGTAATTATAGTCCGCTTCGCAGGCTGGCTGGGAGCAGGTAGCCTACTTGGTAGGCGCCGTCGCGCAGGAAAATACTGGTCGCTATTTGGTCGTAACGTGTGACCAACGGGCGTGTCGTCGCATATTTGCCGAGCTGTCAATCTACAGGCCGCCACCGAGGCAACAAGTGGAAAAAGAAATGACGCTAGGAAGGAATCATTTATCGATCTCTTCGCAACAACGGGGCGGGAAGAAATGGAAGAGAGAGACACTAGATGAAAAGAAAGCAAAAATCAAAAAGAAAATTTGAGCTCCGATAGGGGGAATCGAACCCCCGGCTGCCGTGTGAGAGACGGCGATGTTAGCCACTACACCATATCGGATTACTTGATAATTCTGGCTTCCTTTTTTAGCTATATGTCTCACGGCCGTTGCCTGTCAGATCTAGACAACGTTGGGTGTCGCCTTCCTCCATCGCAACTCTGGCAACGCATTGGATTAACTGTGAAATTGTCCGCATGCACCTTCAAGTTGCGGGCTGGCTGCCTTCACCATGATACTGAGCTGGGCATCTATTCAGCCCTGCTTATGCGGTGATTAGCAGGATCTGAGAGAATGTATTACTACTTATCTACCGGGTCCGGAATGTGTCCTAGGGCAAAGACATATATTCCAGGGCAGCTCGTGCAGGATAGACCGCCGCGGATTCCGTGCTTGTCAGCTTCCAAACATTGACTCACCCACTCTATTCCGGACCACGGAAACTGGACCTGATCCGGAGAATGCTACCTTTCTGCACCGAAATTATTAATTCAAAACTTGGATGGCCAGACCCTGAAGACATAACACTCCTTCGCCATGTGATCGACTGAGGTGCTGGAAGTATACATTTTACGCGCCGGATGCATTGCATCTGCATCATCCAAGATGAGATGAGGCGGCCGATAAGCTAGCGTAAGCTTCGACTGGATAGAACGACGAGTCGATCCTTCGGGCAGGGATGTCAGCCACTAACGGACAAAAGTACCCATTTCCCAGTCGCCCCTCCCTCCGTTCCCCAGAAGCATTGAACAGGAAAAGTCCAAAAAGCAAAGGCATTCTAACTAGCCGGGCACCCGGATCCGATCCGGGACACTAAGACCAGCTAGACTAAGTAGACTCTCACATTTCAGCTCTCTTCCCCCCCAACTTACAGTATCCAGTGGCTATCCGCGCGCACGCCAAAGGAAATAAGAGAACTCTACACAACTTTAGGTTCTTTGATACATCCACACGGGACGGGAGGACATCTCCGGCTCTCACTATTGGAGCATTATTCCTTCCCCCTTGAGATGTCATGATAACCCAGATTTCGAATGGAGCCCTTGTTTGTCTGTTTGCTTTGTTGATCGGGTTTCATGATGGAGATCTTGTCGTGTGGTCGGCGATAAATGGACGTCAGGTTCATTGGATGAGGAGTGCGTCAACATCCACCCCCTGCTGATCTACTACTAAAGTAGATACTAGTTAACTAGCAGCATGTACTGATTTAGTCCGAGGGACAGATGGATGGACACACCACCCCAATATCTAAGCCTGTCCAGTGTGTCCACAACAACTGAATATCCACAATATGTAAAGCCATGCATAAGTCCCATCTCCACTCTCCCACACACACTCCCTCTCGACGAAAAGGCCAAGTCAAGTATCTCTTAACTGCGATAAGTTTAGCGCATTCACACCCATTCTACGTTTGACTAAATCCGACAGTCCAGATCAGGTCCCCGAAAGGTAAAATAGAAAGTTGACACGTCCAAAGAAGAGCCCACTGACCACTTAGTTACTGACTTGCTTCAATCAAGATCCACAATCACGCAGTCTTATTTCTAATTCAGCAACTCTCTTTTTCATATGAAGTATTTTTATCTTCCATTTTCGCCACTGTGGATCGGTCCAGATCGCAGATACAGGTACACACCCAAATGAATGATGAATAACTAACTGGGTCTACACAATAGATGCATAGCACACATTAGTAACTACAGTAACCAAGCACCGACTAATCCATCCATCCATCCATCAGCAATGACCCCTACTGCATCTGCAGATTACTCCCAACATACCACTTTCTATACCAACAGCACCAAGGGAAAGAAGAGACGAAGTACCACAAGGATATGTGGCTCAACAGCTATGGTGCCATGCGACTCAACCAATTCCCGGGTGTGGCGAGTCCGCGCGGCATTAGCCCTGCAGTTGAAACCACCACTGCTGCCACCTAAGTACTTCAGCTGCTACCGCTTTATACTGTAACACAACACCTGACTTGCCCGACTGACTGACTGACTGACTTACAATGCAGCCCAGTTGGGTATTTGCCCGGTGAGATTTGAGCGGTCTACTGTATACTATGCATAGGATTGCATCATTGTGCGATCATTCCTCGGGATATACTTGCTGTATGGGATGGGAGTATTATGCATGTCGCATGGTGCGCTTGTTGATATATTGTATATCATTATCCAGGTTAATTGAGTTGCTGTTGTTGTGGCCCGACTTGATGCCTGCTTGCCTGCCTGTCCGTCTGGTTTGCCTGTCTGTTTGTTTGTTTCTGTACGCCCTTATGCTGGAGAACGTTGGTCGGTGTTATGGTAGGCTGTCTGTAGAAGGGAAAATAAACCCGTGTCTCAGTTTGCCAAAGGTTTCATTCTGTTTCCTTATTTGGAGATGGTAGCCTAGGCCTAATGTGTCTTGCTTCAATCGTCAATTATAAAGTAAATTTACCAGAACAGAGTTTATAGTATGGTATAACCACCAATGCCGATATAGATACGAATACCCCCAATCCACAACCTGACATCAGACATCAGACACCCCCCTCGAGGATAAAAAAACCCACCAACCAAGTACACTCCGTAGAGACTTCCCGAATCGTCGCTGATATATGCGCGCGCAAGGTAACGGTATCACCGCAACACAGCAGAGACAGGGCAGCGCAGCACAGTGCAGTGCACATCTCCCTCCCTCCCTCGCACACACTGCATCTGTAATGTAAGCGGACACAACCTGACCCGACCCAGCCCAGCCCAGCTCAGCTCAGCTCAGCTCAGCTTGAGTGCGTCAAAAAGGAAAAGTTCTGCCCGATGTAGTGCAAGACAAAGTGAAGATTGATCGTTGGGCCTGGCCGCTCTTTCGGACAGACAGATAGACAGCCAACTTTCAATTCTTCGTTGACTAACACTCGTAAGTGTAAGTAAGCTTGACACACATACTGCTGCATATTTTCCTCTGCTGACTGTAGCTTCTGGTGCATGGAGTTAGGAGGTTTTTGTTTGATATGACAGTCTTGAGGAAGATGTACGGGCTTTAGGGTTGCAGATGAGTTGGTAATTGGATGAATGGTCAGTTTGGTGATTGTTGCATGTTGTGTATAGACTTTTTGTGGTGGTTGTGAAATTGAAGTAAGTTTGGTCGTTCTGTTATCCTATGGTCCTGGAATTTCAGTTCACTTGGTTGTTTTGTATGTATGTCTTGTGGTTATGGGGTTGGTTTTGGTTCTGCTGTTGTTAGTTTGCGATTATCTGCCTGGAATTAGGTTGACTGTCAGATCTGCATAATAATAATGGTGTAGACTTCGGATGCATGATGAAGACAATAGATGGACCTCGTATATTCTGACAATGGCAGATAGCAAACAGATCCATATTGAATGTCAATGTTTGTTTGCAGTAAACACAGTTATCATCAGGTGCCGATAACGTCACGTGCCGGTCGGATTTGCTGGAAATGCGGCATGAGCCATGACATCGACAACCGATTTCATCATCAACCCCAATTCCAAGAAGCTATTGAGTTCCTGAAACAAGGCAGGAAAATGCATCGCAGCTGATTAATACCCCTTCAATTCGCATAATTGCTCTCCCCGTCATTCCAGAATGAGCTATAGCTAAGCTCCAGATTTTACAACATGGCAGCTCACAGAACATGGCTCTTCCGCTCAATTCCTCGCATTCTCCCCCAACACTCCGTCCGATTACGTCCTCTAGCTAGGACACCCGCGTGCGCTCTAAAAGTATGGTCTCAGCGGTATAATAGCACCGAAGCCGAGTCCAAGCGATCAGAGTATCATCAGCAAACGCCACTGCCCGATCATATCTCCGAACCGTCACATCTGAATCCGTCCCCCGAAGATTATTCGCGCTTTATCTTTCAGGATAAATGTCGCTCGACGATATATGCTGGTGCCGGTGGGCATGGGTGTGTCTCGTTTCTTCGTGAGAAATATGTCGAAGAGGGTCCGCCGAATGGTGGCGATGGAGGTAGTGGCGGGAGCATCTATATTCAGGCCGTTGAAGGCATGACGAGTCTACATAAGCTGGCTCGTAGGGGGATCATAAAGGCCGGTCGGGGGAAGAACGGGCAGGGGAAAAGCAAAGGAGGCAAACGAGGCAACGATGTCCTGCTCCAGGTTCCCGTTGGCACTGTCGTTCGCGAAGTCGATCGTTACGACCCGGTCACGGAGGAAATCGTGCGCCGGAAACGTGAGCGCAAGGAAGCTGCAGCAGCCGCTGCTGCTGCGGCAGAGGAGGGCGCAGAAGAGAGTGATGAAATAGATGAGCTTGGGTTACCGTCTATACGACATGATCGCTGGGTTCTTTACCCTGGTGCCAACCCGTCCGATTACCTGACTACGGTGTTTCCGAATAACCCGCCCCGGAGACAACATATCGCTGCACTGGAACCGCAGGCGCCGATCTACCTTGATCTATCGCAGCATATGGACAAGCCGATCTTGTTGGCTGCTGGAGGTGCTGGTGGCTTGGGTAACCCACACTTTGTGACTCGCAATATGAACCGGCCTACGTTCGCATCTAGAGGTGAAGGCGGCATGCGCCTGGAGCTTGAGTTTGAGCTGAAGCTGCTTGCGGATGTTGGACTCGTGGGGAAGCCCAATGCAGGAAAGAGTACATTACTTCGGTCATTGACCAACAGTCGCACCCGGGTCGGAAACTGGGAGTTCACGACGCTTTCTCCCAATATTGGTACGGTCGTCATCGACAATAATAAAGGGCGACCGTTGGTGGAATCCAAAGGAAAGGCCCGGCGGACGAACTTCACTATTGCCGACATTCCAGGTCTGATCGAGGATGCTCATCTGGATAAGGGCCTTGGTCTAGGCTTTCTCCGGCATATTGAGCGCGCAGGCATCCTGGCGTTTGTGGTTGATCTCAGCGCAGGTGACCCTGTGCAAGGACTGAAGGGACTCTGGCACGAACTGGGCGAATACGAGCGCGTCCGTGACGTTGAAGAGTCGATGAAAGTTGAGGGAGATGATTTAACTTGGAATCCGCCCACTCATGGTCTTCCTGAACTTCAGTCCGAAAGTGCAATTCAGGAGCTTAACAAGGTTGCGTCAAAAGCTAAAGACGAACTTCCCGCTCTAAATCTTTCTCCAATTCACACCAAGCCATGGTTTGTGGTAGCCACCAAGGCCGATCTCCCGGAGACTCAAGAACGCTTCGAGACACTGCGTGACTATCTTGCCGCCGTAAAGAACGGCGAAGAGGAACATCCGGGCGGACATCCCTATGGACGGAGAGACAAGGTCTGCGCGGTTCCTGTCAGTGCCATTAGGGGCGAGGGAGTTGCGGGAATTCCAAAGCTTGTTGTGGATTTGCTCGATTAAGCAACGGCAATCAGAATTGATAGTACTAAATGTGCCTAAAAGGTGTATATAAAAAGAGTTTGTAACATAGGGTCGGAGTTGATGGTTTGGCGGTTGTAATAATAACAGGGAATATGTCCGAATGAAGAGACAATTAGTCTCATAGCACAATCAATCTCGCTCCATAATTCCTCCTTCTGGTCAGTCTATATGTCTTTTCAGCATTTCTAGCATGTAGTTGATGACAATCTGAATACATCCAAAATTGTCATTCGGAGATAGCGGGGTTCACACGCTAGTCTTGATCGGGATACTTAATTGATCCTCGGAAAAAGACGCGACCAGAACAACACTTTCAACATTAAACCATCCATCACTCTCTTGAGTCAAGTCCAGCATCTTCATGCAAAGATACCCACTACTCCAATCACATACAATGAGATAAAAAGATAACCCGCAAAGAATGCGATACTCCCCAATCCACCTCCAGCTTCCCAAAACCCTCCTCGAGATCCTCAATATCCGCCCCGACGACCCCATCCTCCGCTGCTTCCCAGACAACAACCTCGACACACTTCACGACAACCTTCTCGGCGATCCCGACAGCGCAATCAAGCTAGCTGACTCAAAGCTCCGCGTATTCCCCTTCAAAGATGTCGACATCTGCTGGCGCCGCTACTACACCGACGCATGCATCTTGAAAGCATGTCTGACGATCGCCGAAAACTGCGGGTTTCCGCGCCGCGAACGCAACGGACACCCTATTCTCCCTCCTTCTCCTTCACATCCCGGTTCCACGGCTCTCACGCGCAGGCAAAATATACTGAGGATTATCGACGATTCCCACTCTAACAAGGAACTGATTGAGGTGGACCCGGAAGCAGAATGGCTCACGCCTACGATACACATGCTCGACAAGGCATTAATAATGACTGGAGCACCACTGAGGGAAGCATTAGTCCTAGCGGTGATTAATGCGCTGCAGGGTGCGTGTCCGACGACCAAGCGGAACAACTTGACTAAATTCGAATTCCCCGATGAATTGGACCCCGACGAACTTGCCACTCCGCTCTTCTCTGACGATGCTGCGCCGACGCCTGAGATCTGTTTCCCTATACCCCGAGTATCGAATCTACCGATGTGGGGTACTTCGCCCTCGTCGCCGAATTTCCGTGATCATGTGCGCCAGAAGAAAACACCGCTTGTCATTACCGATGTGGTGAAAGATTGGCCGGCTATAGCGACGGGGTCGTGGGCGTCCAGGGAGTTCTGGATGCATCGAACTTTTGGCGGACGGAGACTTGTCCCTGTGGAGATTGGGAGGTCGTATACGGATGAGGACTGGGGACAGCGGTTAATGCCCTTCAAGGACTTCGTGGAGAAGTATCTTGATCGGGATAGACACAGCGATGATGCAGGTCCGACGGGATACTTGGCGCAGCATGATCTGTTTTCTCACATGCCGACCTTATTTAAGGATTTCATGCACCCGGATTACATTCACATCGACGCACCCAAGGCAGAACCCGGCACCCCAGCCTACATCCGACAGCAGAGAGAGGAAGAAGACCGGAGACGGAAACTAGGAGAAGAAGTCGTTCCGGTTCAAAAGAAAGAACAAGAACCCAAATCCGACACCGACTCCGACTCATCATCCTCGCACGAACCCGACGACGATGGCCCGCACCTCAACATCTGGATGGGTCCCTCATGGACGATATCCCCCCTCCACTTCGACACATACCACAACATCTACGTGCAAGTAGTAGGCGAAAAATACTTCCGACTATATTCCCCTCACACATCACTCTCGCAGATCCATCCGAAGGGGAAAGAACCCGTCGTTAGACGACGGCCCGAGGATGGGCAAGATACCCATCAGTACACTCATAATCAGCACTACCACGAGCAAGAAGATCCTGAACTTGTGGACATGTCCAATACATCGCAGGTTGATCTTGCTGCTATTGAGATGTCCCCTGCTGAGGCGGACTATTGGGAGGAGCTGTGGCCTGGGTTCCTGGATGCGGAGTATGTCGAGACCGTGCTTAAGCCGGGCGATATGTTGTATATTCCTATTGGGTGGTGGCATTATGTGAGGAGTTTGAAGGGTGGGATTGGGGTTAGTTTTTGGTGGGATGGGTGTTAGGTGGGTTTAGCATTGCTGTCGTCGTTGACACTTTTTGTATGATAGATTTTGGTTGTATGCTAAGGTGCATGAGCTCGAGTTTGAAGCGGTCAGGAAGGTATTCAAGTGTGTTCTGTGTTCGAATGCGATTGCCCTTTTGGGTGATTGCCTATTTGGGGGTAGTAATATAAGTATCTACCACACTGTACCGTAAGTGTCGATTATCTACTCTTCACAGAAGCTTGCGTTGCTTTGGCGTCATGTTCATTGTAGCCAGAAAGGTTCCAATGCCATATATACTCTAGACCTGACAGCAGTGTCTACTCGACTGTAAGGATTAATTCTGTGCCCTCCTCGCCAACACCAAAGGCTTCCCTGCTTCTATCGAGTCACCCGGTTGAACCAAGATCTTCTCCACGGTAGACCCAGCAGCGAGGGACTCCGTGCGCACGGCAATTTCCAGCTTCATAGCCTCCAGAATAACAACCAGCTGATCATTGTCAAGCTTATCACCTTCCTTGACTTCTACTTTCCAGACATTGGCGTTCAATGGCGCTTCAATGGGGGTGATCTCAGGGTCTAGGCCAAAGAGAGTGGGGATCAGTATCTTCCGTTCTGTTTCGGATTAAGGACTGCATACCCTTCAATAAACTCTCAATCGTATCCATCGGGATACCCCGTTCTGCTTTCTCCTTCGCCCACCGCTCAAGCAATTCTGTCTCGAGCTTGTCCATATCAGCTTGTGCCCGTCGCTGCTTGCTCCGAATAGCTGCGACTTCGTCCGCGGTGTCACGGAGGAGCTTATTGTGCTCCGCCATGTCGAAGATAACCTCTTCCCACTGGTATTCATATCTGCCGCTGTTGAAGAGAGCGAGCTGCTTCTCGTATTCTTCTTCGGAGACGCGGTAGAAGGTGATCTGGTCGAAGTCTTCGAACAGCCATGGTTTGTTGGCTTCGTAGCCTTTCTTGGAGCCGAGAATGTCGACACCCGGGATGGTCATGCCGGTCATTTGGTATCCGCCGGGTGAGTCTACGTTGTATAGTCTGCTTTCTGTTAGTATGTGTGCTGATCGTGTGCGTGTGGCTGGTTTGATGCTTACGCCATGCAACTTCCGCCCCAGGAGACTGAGCCGGCTGGTGTGTAGACTCTACTGGGGTTCATCTTTGGGCAGTTCATCCGGTAGCGTGGGTCGACTGGGAGGGAGAGCGGGAGACCAGTGAAGAAACCAACTGCTATAACCATGAAGGAGGCGGTTAGGTAGATCCGTTCGAACTCCTCTCTGCTGAATGCATTGTTCTTCGCTACGAAGTCGATGTTGTCGGGGAGGTAGGAAGCGTAGGGACGCTGGGTATCCATGTATCGGGTGATTGCGTCTTTCTGTCTCTGGCTCTCGAAGGAGAGAGGGAGCTTGAATAGCCGACTGGGGAACTTTGCTTGGCTGAGGTCACCGAGTTTTGTCTCGATGTCACAAAGATAGGTTAGGAGCTTCTTTTGCGGGATTTTTAGTCCGTCATAGTAGATCATCAAGGCTAAGTAGAGTCAGCACTTAGGTTTGGATGGATTAGTGTGAAGAAAAGCTTACTATTTCCGCTTCCCATGATTGAGATTAGTCCGTTCGCAAAGGTGATATCACCAGTTCCTTCAGTCAAAGCTTTCTTCAGAGCAGTAGCTCTACAGCGATGGTTCAGATCAAAGGACCCAGTGCCGTAGTCAACCAGCAGATAGTCGTCGCCGGCCTGCTACATGTTAGTCAAACGAGTATGAGCGGCTGAATTAACTGCTAGCTTACCTGACGATATGAAACAAGAGGTTGGCTCCAACTTTCCTGGATCTGGTGTATGACACCCTGTCCGCGTTTCTCTGCTGTCAGCTCTGGAAGTAGGTCCCCTTTGACGGGCGATATGTTACTGAGGTCACCCCTTTGGCAACCTTGAGCAATCTCGTCGATAAAACGTTCTAGCTCTTTGCGATAGGACAGAGCATCTTCCAAAGACGTAGCACGGTATCTCAGAGTATCACCTGCTTTCACTTGCCCCAGCTTCCATAGGTCGGCTTTGCAGATTGTATGACTGCTGACGAAACCCCCCAGGTCAGGCGCATCCACGGGGAATATGACCGGGTCATCACCCGTCCAATTGAGAGAGCCTATTGCATAGCCATACTCGATCAAATTAGAAGGATGCGCACCGCCTTCACCACCATCTGTGCGAGCCCAAGTAGGCTTCGGGCCTAGCAGACGGATGCCTCCTCTAGCGGCGTTGTGCGACACTTTAAAGTTCGCGCTGTAAAGCATATCAATGCTGTCGGGAACAAGATATCCCTGATCATACGGTCCTGGCATGGCCATAAACTCCCAGTGATCAGGGTACTGAGGAATAAGATGCTGCGGTAAGCGGAGGTCACCGCTCACTTCTGGTAATTGAGTAATAATCGAAAGAAGATCACCAGAGGCAAGCTGTCTGCCTTGATAGCCCCCGACGCCAACACCTGGAGTGGTTGATTTGGATCCGAACCACTCTGCGACATTCAAGAACCCTCCGAAGACACCAAGGTAGGCTCTGCAGCCGTTACCCGTTGTTTTCCCGATCTTCAAACGCTGGCCAGCTGAGACCTTTACCCTCGACCACATCGGAAGGGGTGCGTCGTCAAGCTTGGCTTCGATTGGAGCACCACATAACGAGATCAGTGCTGGTCCCAGAAATCGTAGTTCCGGTCCACTCAGGGTTATTTCCAAGGCTTCCAGACCCATAGGGTTTCCAACAAGTGCATTCGCAATGCGGAAGGCCATGGGATCCATAGGCCCCGAATGGCAAAAACCCCTTCCCAAAGTTGGACGGCCAGGCCAATCTTCAATGAGTGTATATGCACCGCCAGATATAACATCAATAGCAGACAATTGATATTTAAAGTCGTTTAGAAAGCGAGTCAATGTTCTCCCAGCGACGAAAGTGTCATCCGCCAGAATATCAGCCAGGAACTCCAGGTTTGTTGG